TTTTTATATATATATATATATATATATATATATATACACGTCTGTTTGTATCCATAACTACAGTAGGCATAAAAAATAACCTTTAAATTCGACTTTATTTACAAAAATAAATATTTAAAAATTAAGTTTAGTAGCCTGCATTATTAAGAAATAATAATAATAAAGTTATAATAATAATAATGAAATAATAATAATAAGCAAATAAAAAAATAATGAAATAATAATAATGTAATAATAAAGTAAATAATAATAAAGAGGTTAGTCTGGAACTTCTTGAGAAAATCTTCTTGAGAAGGCCAAGGCTCACGTTGGGCTGTTAAGCGATTGATGATGATTATTATTATTAGCAAATAATTGGTGATAAGTTATTTGTTGTTTGAAAATTATTATTTTAAACTAACGAAAAATAACAGCAGTAAACAGTAAATGTTAACAGTAAATGTTATTTAATAAAACAGTGAATGTTATTTAATCGTTTTCTAATTCAATTTTATTTTGGAATTTAGTTTACTATGAATGTTATATTTTATTCAAGTCATCTATTTGGATTATTTTAGGTTACATTGATATGTGAATGTGCGAGTAGCAATCCCCAAGCAGAAATCACGTGGTGGAAAGATGGGTTTATTATACTTGGTACTCCTGATGGAGTATTTGACGCTCCGAATGGTGGGAGATCGACAAAAAATATTCTACAGCTCAATGTTTCTTCACATGATGACGGAGCAGTATACACATGCCAAGCAACAAACACTGAATTAAAACAGAGTGCACATGATGCTGTTACTATCAACGTATTATGTAAGTTTATCTAGATTTTACTTTCTTTAATGCAAATTCAAATAAAAAATCATTAAATTCAACGTGCCACCCATTTTCAATTATCATTCATAAATTCAACGATGACCAACGAATGTTGAACCTTCCTGGAGGAGGTAGTCCAGTTTTCGTAATAAGTGGAAATGGGAATGCGTTGGACAATTGAAGAACGCTGGAACGGAGAGGTTAGCCTTGCTGCTGGTGCGCCAAACTTCAGCGTTTAAAGGCACTGAGCTGCCTAAAGGATTAAGCAGGTTTTGATTATTATTGGCGGCTAAATGATAACTTTAGATCAATAGGTAGGAGATTGCCTGAAAAGTAAAGGCAACTTGAGCTCAAAACTAACAGTCATGTCGTTCATCTCGAATTAGAGAAATAATAATATACAAAGCCCTCAGACCCACAACAATGGACTTTTATATGATTGCTGAACTTTTACATTACAATTTACATTTGACTCAATTAGTAGTTCATTGATTAAAAATTATGTTACTTTATTTAACAGATCTAGAAAAAACACTTTTGTTATTTGCTACTTTAAAGCAAGGTATTTAAAAACGCTGTGTCTTGAAAAATAATGGTATATTTTGAAAGGAATAAAAAAAATTAGTGACATTGTTTTTAAAGTTTTGATTGTTTTATTTGGGCGTAGAATCACTTGAACAGCATTTTGGAAAATATTGATGTGCATGCGTGAAAATTCATGTCGTATATCCAAATGTCAATTGTAAGGTTTTGTTTTGACATTTTACATGCGAGGTAATGTATCAAAAATGACGGAAATCTGATTTTTTGGAGGGGGAGGGAGATAATGCTCAATAGGCATTACCATGTTTTAATTTTTTTTCAAGTTGATTTCATAAAAAAAGGTAGTAAAGGAAAAAAAACGTTTTGGAAACTTTTCAGGAAATTTACTATTGTTTTTGGTAAAATTTTTAGTGTTAAAGAAGATGGTTTAAATAGAATGAAATTTCTTTCATATTAAACCATAATTAAACATTATCTAGTATTTGGATAAGCTGTAAGTGGTGTGGATGATTAACATAAGGCAATTTTTGCATGTGCAATGGATCAATAAGCTTTAAAAATTAAGTACATCAAAAACAGTATTAAATTTTTAAATTTTGTACAGATTTTAAAAAATAGTCAACAGTTAAGAGATTAAGATAGTTAAAAGGTTTTAATAAATAGTATATTCTAAAGAATGTTTTCATTTCTTTCTTGCATTTATAGTTTTTGACCAATTAGTAAACCTATATTTTAATAATTTTTATCTTTATATTTGAGGATTTATTAATAGGTGCCCAACACTCCTCCCCTCTACATGATCAATAAAATGAAGAGATAAATGGCACAATTCATGGCAATCTCTCTTGATTAATGTTTGTGTTTTAATTGTAATATTTTTTATTTGTGTTCTAGATAAACCAGAGTTTGAAACGAAGTCTTCACAGCAATACGATGTTATAGAAGGGGAATCAGCTACGCTCAACGTATCTGCTAGAGGCAATCCGATCAACATCAACTACTCTTGGAGCAAAGCTAGCAGCTCAACTTCTCTAATGCCTGCTGATTCGAACGATGTAGCTGTTAGTCCAGTTTTAGCTACTGGCCCTATATTCAACATTTCGAACGTTCGAAGAGATCAGGCTGGCCAGTACAGACTGGAAGCCATAAATGAAGAAGGAAACAGCGTTGTTACTGTTGTGCTAAATGTATTATGTAAGTTGCAATTCGTCTTGGTTTTATTTAAAATTAAATATATAGCAAAATTATTTTCTATGTTGCGTGGGTTTCATAAAAGTTGCGCATCAGACCAACATTGAGTTTGGTCAAGTTTGTAATTGAAAATTAGCATGCAAGTTATCTAGACCATGAGGAAAAGAAATTAGCACTAAAACAATTAGCTCAAATTTGGATAACCAGGTGAAAAAGGGCGCGCATGAATACCGAAAGTAATAATTAAAAATTCGCAATTAAATTTTATCATATAATATGTTTAATTTGCACTCTATTTTTTCCTCACGCCATGTTCAAAACCTCTAAATTTCTCATTTCTAAATTTCGTTCTATCTATATCAGCAAAAAGCTTGTTTCAAATTCAGTTTCATTTAAAAGCTGCATCCGTTTTCTTCCTTCCATACTTATAATACCCTCGCATCATCAAATGTAATAAATATCATTTTTCATTTCTTTAGTAATTAATGCTTAATGAATTTAAGGCATAGACTGCTATTCATCCTACTTATATGTTGTATATCCCTATCATAAAATGTGATTAGAAATTCTATTTCAGCCGTATACTCTGATTACTTGTAATAGTGATTGCATGCAATTATGATTACCTGAAATCAAATATTTTGATTACTTGTAAGTACTAAACCATAAATCAGCCATATTTAATCAGAAATCATGATTGCTTGTAATAGCAGTTACCTGTAATCACGATTACAAGTTATTATTTACACAGCTGTAATTACATGAAACCAATTAAAAGTTGTAATTGATTATAATAACTGATGTCTTATGTCCATCTGGCATGTAGTTTGATTGCATGAGAATAAAATTAAAAACACATGCTCTTTAAGCCTATACTTAAAGCAAGATTCGTCTTTTATGCATGTCTTTCAAAACACTAAGAACTGTGCTTATTAAATCCGTAAATTTAGGCATTACTTATGCTGATAAATCTCTGATTTGCAAACTATAGCACTTTTGTCCTTTATCAAAATTTAATTTACAATATTATAAGTGCAAGGAGTTTCAATGTTTTACTTTGACTAAATCGTAAATTGTAGTTCGTACTTTATGAAATGATAGAATACTGTTTACGTTATAAAAGAAAGTACAAGTAGTTTCAGTCGTTTTTTTGATAACACAAACTCAAGTTAGTGTCATATCAAGTGTATATAACAACTATTTGTTCTGCTACATTTGCTAAGCTATTTTCAAATCTTTAGTTATTGTTCGAAATTGTAAGGTAAGTGAAAACCTAAACACTGGTCATTTCATCAATAATCATTTCATCAGTGACACGGTTCATGCTGATATGATATTTGACATTTAAGAAAAATATAAATACGCAAACCTAATAATTTCAATCAATGCGGATGTACATTATTTCAAAAAATAAATTTATAGACTTAGTCCTAAAGCTTAACAATTCTTTTATTCACATAATTGTTAAATAGTGAAACATTATTTTAAATTAAGAAACCAAAGTGAAAAAAGTGTAAGAATGCAATTTGCGAAAAGATATAGATATATATCATATACAGAAATAAAAACTTATTACGTACAAATCGCATAGATGAATTTATTTTATTTCTCTATAAAATCAAAACTAAGTTGAAAGTAAATAAAATATTTTGAAGGGTAAGAATAGTAAAGAAGATGCGTGCCAAGAATTCAAATAATTCAATAAATGTGTTTTTCCTTTCTTCAGATTCAGCATCCATCACCATGGCAACTGAAAATGCACTTGTGGATCAGGGTTCCAATGCATTTCTTGAGTGTCAAGTAGATGCAAATCCGTTGAGTGATGACGTCATAGGATGGCAAAGGCCGAATTTTGACATGAGCCGAACAAGGCAGAGTATTGAAAATGGACGATCCTATCTCATCATTAACAACGTGACCAAAGATGATTCTGGAGTATTCCTTTGCGTTGCTGACAATGGTATTGGAAACGAAGCACGAAAAGCATCTACTCTGATTGTCAAACGTGAGTCTTAATTCTATAGTCATTATGTATGCATAGTCAGGCATAATATTCGCTATATTTCATGCAAACCCTAAAGCAAACTCTATATTTTAATTAGTATTCGAGTAAATATTAAATATAAATTGTTTATAGGTGATGTTTTTAATTTGAAATTCTGATATCAAACTTATTTGAAGTTGGCTGTGCAATAAGTTCTTATAAGTATTATTAATGTGTTAATGCAAATAGATGTAAGATGGAAAAAATATTTCAGAGTATAAAGTTTGGAAATAAATTTCGATGCATATATANTTTAGAATAAATAGTAATTCCGATAATCTAGCATATTTTTTTCACTCACGATATATATAATATTATTAATATAGAAGACTGAACAGAAAAGTGTACTTATTAGCTGTCACAAACTTTCATTTAAGAGAAGGAAAAACAATGATTACTAAGAAAATCGGTGAAATATTCCTTTACAGTGAGATGAAAAACATTATATCCAGTCTAAATGCATGTTGGAGCTAAAATTTGCTCCTAAATATTAGATTTAAACGGTAATCGTACATGTTATGTACTCTTTCCCGCCTTCCTACTAAGCAACTAAATATAATCATCACTACTTAGTAATCCTAGGCATTTATTTTACATGGAGTAAAAATGTAAAATTTTAATTAAAAGTCTTTCTCCATTTTATTTTTGAAATTCTTTTTAAAATATTGCTTGCTAGTTTATTTTAAACACTTCATTTAATGTTATTTTTCATTTGCGTATTTATAAACTTATGTACTTCACTTTTATCTCCATATTACATCTTTCAGACAATTATCAGAGTAGAAACCCAGGAATTCAATCTACATTTAAATGAATTGAATATTTTTAATACATTTTAATTAAAAAAACAAAAGTTGTATTAATAAAATTAAAGTAAGCGCAATTTTAAGAAACGTTGAAAACACAAAACTCTGTATTTTATTCCATTTTATAGTACATAATAAATAAAACAAAAAGAAACCTATCTCTTATCTAACTAAATATAATCTTCACCACTAAAGAGCTTTTCCAAAAAGTAAATCTGGGCTTGCTTTTTCTGACATAGCTTTCTCAAAATTTGAACGTTATATAATGATTCTCATATGATTTTAGTGGAATAAAAGGGCCCATAAATATGGATAAGCTAGACGAGGTTCTTAAGAGATTATACAGTTTCTTTGTCTCATTTACTAAATTGCTACGTCTTAAAGCTTTTATGAAATGGGAGAAGAAAATTTAAGTGTATAATTTAAGGAGAAGTTTTATATCATCTAAAACTTATCTAAACAGAGGATTGATTTTTTTAAAAAGCAAAATGAAATCATCTTAATCAACTTTTATCTTATTAAATTCCATTATCATAGAAGGAATTTATTAGAGTTAATTTTATAATTTAATGTTTTTATTAATATCTTTAATGTTATTAAAAGACTAATACCAGACAAAATCACAGCGAGGAAAACATACAAATTTTAAAACTAATGGGGGGGATATTATTATTTTACTTGGATTTTTCTGTTCTACTCTTAGTATTTGATTTTTTCCCTAACAAATATAATTGCATACATGCTTGATTGATGCTTGATTGACACATTGTTTAAGTCTACACGTTTTTATTATTAAACGATGCTATAAATTCTTGCGTAAACCAAAAAAGGTCACTCGGAAAAAACCTTGATCTATTAAATTTATTAACACACTATTATTGACCAAAATAATCAATGCCTATAATATTAGAAGAAATTGATTATACAACTTTACCAATTTCTTAATGCATGCATCTATAAAGGACAACTGCATTAAATATTTTATAATACGTACAGAACTAGTAAAAAATTAGTTTCAAGCATAAAATTAACTTTAACGAGAGGGAAAATACGCAATCAAAATCTGACCAGTCATTTTCGTTATCGACGAAAAGAGGCAATAGAAAGATCATAAACCAGTTTACTTGACTGTTTTAGTTTTGTTATTTGCTTTTCGCTAATGAATAACTCTCAACTTCATCCATCTTGACATTAAAATTAAATTAAAATTAAATTAAAAACATTTTACTGGTTTTGATAGTGAATGCAAAGAGTGATCGTGATTTTTTTTCTCGCTAAAAAAGTTATTCTACAACTTTCGAAGATCAGAATATTTATTGAATTTGTTATTTACGAATTAAACAATCCATGCATTTAGTGAAGGCAACAAATCTTTGGTCATTTCTTATAGTAAGCAGTATTTTGTTTTAAAGAAATCGAATCGAATGATTAAGTAATTACAGATAATGATTAGATTGCACTGCAAAAAAATCCAATTCAACTTACGGTATAAGGTATCCGTAAAAACAATTTTCAATCTCAATCATCATCCGTAAAATCAATTTTACCGTAAAAATAATTTTTCCCCATTAAATATTAAATCGTAATTTCTATAGTATTATTCATTGCCTTACAGGGATTAAGTGATTTTACGGTAACTATTATTGTAAAAATTACGGATTATCAGATTTTTTATTCCGTGACATGTTCCAGTTAAGATCTATTTCCGGAAATAGATACCAGCACCTTTAGTGCCGATACTTCTTACCGTAATTCCATCCGGAATTTTTTACAGTAAGAATAATGTCTGTACTTTTTTTTCTTAAATTTTACTTTTAGTCCTTTATATTGCATAGAATCTAGCATTGCAGATCTCACTAGATACACAAAATATTAAAATTTAAAAATTCTTCTTCTTCTATATTCCCTAGATAAACCTGTGATAGAACGAACTGGTGCCTATTCTAAAGCTGCAGCTAGCGAGGGAGAAAATGCAAAAATCATTTGCAGAGCATCTGGTGCACCAAATGTATCTTTCACGTGGTTTCGAGATGGTTCCGCAATCGGTTCATCAAAGAAACCGCCTTCGAAATACGAAATAAGAAGCCGACAAATCGATTTTGTGTCCTATGAATCTATTTTGATAGTGAAAGACATGAAGGCACAGGATTACGGCGACTATATGTGCAAGGCCATAAATGAGCTTGGATTTGAGACGTTCAAGATACCTCTTGGACAAAAATGTAAGTATCTGATTTTATTGATTTTTTTCTTCTTTCCCACGAATGTAGCCAGTGTTAAAAAAAAGGGTATGTACGCTATTTTCGGGAAATAAATTAGATGTTCTAAGGAATATATTCTTTGATAGTAAAATTCTGAAGTGAGATTCCTGGATCAAAGTGTACATAAAAATTTCAATGAATCTTACATCCTATCCTAGCATCTTTAGCGTAAGGAAAAATTTTGGCATTACAACTGGTAAGGTAGGTATTATCCAAGAGAATGCTTTTATACATTACTTGTGATAAAAAATATTAAATGGTAATTGGTGTATGAAATTTATTTTAAAATTCAAATAGCAAAATCAATAGTAAAAGAGAAAATTTAAATGTGGTATGCGTAAGTAAAGTTCAATCAGAATTGAAATAAGAATAAGTACAGTAAATAATTTTGAAATAAAAGCTTAAATATTTATTTTTAACCCTTAGAACCAAAATTTTTATTAAATATATTTTTCATACAAAGAGTTAAAAGCTCATTATCATTAGCTTTTATTGGTTTAGTTCAAAATGAGTGAAAAATATTATATTTAGCGTTTTTATGATATATGGTTAGAAACAGCACGAAACAGCATGTCTTTTTCTGCGATAAAAGTTACATCTTCCAAATACGTCTCATTTATAAGCAATTTTTTAAATTTCATTTATTTGCAGTCATTTAGATTTCTATTATTCATTGAAATTTCTCTAATATACAATATAAATTATTGATAAATGTATGGGTTTTTTTTAAAATTTATCTTTAAACTACATTTTTTGGGTCTTATATTCTTGTATAGATATAATTCATAATTTAGAATAAATAGTAATTCCGATAATCTAGCATATTTTTTTCACTCACGATAAGACTGTATTATATTTTATTTGATAACCGTCGCCTTCGAAGAGGACTTTCTGATGGAACTAACCCACATTTTCTCTACGTGGAGAGGAAAAACACAAAACACTATTGTAGGGTATCTACCACTACAAAAAATACAATTCCAATTCACTAGTATAAGACATGTTAACTCGAATCTATGACGGGGTACCTATTCATAGATGACGGTTGACATGGTCTAAACATCTTTCCCCACAACTACCACGTTCAGCCTGACTGTGAGGAGACTCTAACCCGTGATCCAAGGATAACACTGAGAATTTTTTACGTCAGCACTGTGGTCGGTGCCACATCCGGGAGTGGAATTTGTATCGACCATCATCGTTGGGATTCAAACCCGGTTAATCTCACTGCGAGGCGAGCTCTCTATCCCCTGAGCCCCCGTGGCTCTACTGTATTTTATATTTTATTATAACCGTCTTTAAGCAGCCGTCCCAATTTTGAGCTTGAGACTACTATTGTTCAACTCCGTAGCCTTGTAATTTTGAACCAATCAAGAAGACAAGGAAACTCCTAGATCAGTACACCCAGAGATATTGATTTGTCATGGGAACATGTAGTATTTTGGCAACTCGATGGATTTAACGTGCATAAGTCATCATTTACTACACGGGAAGTCTTCTGCCGGAGGGGATCGAAAGTACGAACTCTTGAACATGGGTACAGTGCCCTACCGGCCAGGCTATCCCGGCTCTACTGTATTCTATAGTAAGAAACAACAAAATGTATTTTTACTTCTAATTAGAGCTTTAGAAAAAGTATCTATAAAAGAGACATCTGTGTCCTATTTGCCCTAAAGGGTTAAGGAAACGTATACAAAACGTATACAAAAAATATATAGAAAAGGGTACATAGGGGGTAATAAAAGTGCGCGTAAAGGGGTATAAAATACAATAAGAACAGGCTAAATTCATAATGGAAAGACGGTACAAAATCTCTTCTTAAATGGGACTAGTCTGTCTTAAAAATTTCTTAAAAATTTTTATTGATATTAAGGTAAGGAAAAAATAATCTTCAGTAAATACCGTGTAATTATTCTTTGTATGGAATAAATATAAATTTGAACCACTCTGCATCAATTAAGCATCCGTATTGTGAAAAAATAATAATTTTCTTTAATTTTTGACTTGTTCCAAATCTTTTCTCAAGTAGTTCTTTGACCATTAGGTTGATCCTCAGAGTTTAGACAAAATACGAGCTCTCAGTAATATAACACGGATTATAAAATATTCCCGAGTAAAAGTAAAAAGTATTTTGATTAATATTGTTACGCTTTCAAAAAAAATTCATTTTATTGGTGAATGTTGTCAAATATTCGATTAAAAATGCGAGTACTCTCACAGAAAGAAAATACAACGCTGTCTTCAATAGAACAAGAAAATGCTTCTAAATCGGATAAAAAGTTCATTTTTTTAAATACTAAAATATTCCGATTTGTAGCATACGAGTTTTCGATTTCCTTTTTACTTCTTTAAATCGTAAACTTTTCAGTGAAAAATATGTTTCAATGAATAATGAGGAAAAATAGCCCCTGCATATTATGATACTGTAAAAATAAATGATAGCGATCTTTTCTGCTTAAAATAAATTGATGCTTCATGTTTAAAAAATACAAGAACGCATGTGGAAATACTTTAAAATTGATGACTTCTTGAATAAATATGAAAACAAATGATATTTGATTACTGCCATGCGTGTATCACAACATAAAATATCACTGCAGTTTATCGTTATATTTTAAATTTAATTATGTTTACAAATCTTTGAAAAGTTCTAAATATGATAAATTGCATTCAAATTTATGAAAAAAAAACTAACAGGGTTTTTTGTTTTACTTGAACAGATTTCATTCTTCAATAAATAACAAGTTTTTTTCCCCTTGAAACAAAGAAAAACAGCAAATTAATATACTCGTTGAATTTGCTTTTTCATGAATATTATAAAGAGTTTTAATTCACAAATAAAAAAGTATTTTAGAAATAACTACAAAAATATTGATTTTCAAATTCAGATTTAATATATGATATATTGATATCCTTTGATAATATAACATTCCTTATGAACAACATCCGAATCCAAATTCAGATTTTGAAACAGAGGATTTACGGTAATACCTTAAAAACTTCGAAGATTGCTAACTTTTGATTTTATAACTTATCTAGATTATAATAAGAAATTGTGAGCATTATTCTAAGTTATTCTAATTTCGTTTGAATTAAATAAAGGAAGCATAAAAGTAAGCGCGATTTTAATTTGCAATCTATGAGTCGCAGGATTAGATAAAGTTGGCTTAATTTCATTCAATGCTTTTAACTAGTTAAATGACTTAGAACCAAAACAAAATAGACCTGGATTTGAAACCAAACACAAGAGAAAAAAATCTCATCCAGTTATAAGGTAGATTGAATATATAACATTTCCTTGTTTCATCATTTAACTGTTGATTAACCATTTAAATCCTTTAACTATAATTCTGAAACATGAGTTACGTTATTTTATTTTATAATAAACTTATAATGCACATTAGCAGAGCTTTTTTAAGCCTTTGGGTATTTTTGTGTTACAGTAGTATGCAAACTAAACTAAAGATTAAAAAGAAAAGAAAATTCAATTGGACTGAGTATAGAAAATGTAATATTTCATTGTTTCAGTATTTAGTCATTGATTAACCATTTAAGTGTGCTTAAATTATATTTTTGAAACATAAGTTACCGTTTTTACCTTTACAATCGACTGATAAATGCTCAGTGGCATAATTCTTCAACATTTCAGTTTTTTTGTACAGTAGTATGTAAACCAAAATCAAGAATATAAAGGGGAAAAAGAATCATATTTGAATTAGATTGAGAACGGAAGGTGTAACATTTCATTGTTTCATTATTTAATCGTGTATTAATAAATACCTCAGCAGTAATTTTCGAAACATGGGTTACCTTATTTTCTTTTTCAATAGACTGAAACACAATGGCTCTATCTCTCAACTCTTAGGTTTTTTACGATGGAGTACTGAAAACCAATCTAAAGAATAAAAATCCTTTAAATAAATTAGACTGAGCATGTACGCAACATTTCATTGTTTCAAATTTTGCTAACAAAAAAAAATGTACAAACAAGAAAAAACTTTAAGATTTTAATTTTCCATATGTAATAATTACCTTACTTTCTGTAACCATGTCCAGACGATCCATCTTGGCACAATCTTTCAGCTATTGGTTTTCTTTTTCTCAATATCAATCACTCCGAATCATTATTCTTTTTCTTTTTCTTCAGCCGCTCCGGATCCGCCGATATCTTTGAGAGCTATCAATGCGACGCACAATGCCATTGTTCTGACTTGGACTCCTGGTTTTGATGGTGGACTGGAACAGATGTATCGTATCCAATATCGGAAGACTGGCTCCGCTGGAGGATACTCTGTGGTGGATGTTGAGCCTCAGAACACGACGGTTTTCGCAGTTAGTGGCCTGGAACTAGGCACAGAATATGTCTTCGGCATCATGGCTGTCAATAGTCTGGGCGGAAGCAGCTACCTCAAAGATGCTGAATCGGCTGTCACATTGTGTAAGTAATTCTGATGCTTTTGTATTTTATTCCTTACTTTTATTACATTTTGGAAAATGAATAAAATCCATCTGGATTAATAGTTTTGGTGATGAGATAAGAATATGAAAAGAAGTAAAAGAAAATTGAATAAATGGATGTTTTGAAATTTGTCTAAAAATAATCCTGAAGCTGGAAAAAAATAAAGATGAATGATCAGTTTAAATAATTTATACAAATAATCAGTAAACTACTTTGCTACTTGTCAGTTGATGTTAGTTCCAGTTTATATTTATAACTACACTGATAGATGCAGGTCCTAACCTCATCGCAAACAGATGAATACAAGTTCAGATTATTTTAAAATAAGGTTTAGAAGTGCAAACAATCCAGGAGTAAAATATTGGCATTTTGAGGTGTTTTTTGCATGAAATCATTTAATGTTAAGCTTAGAATTATAAAAAAGGATAAGCTGTATGCTTCAAAATTGTTTCAAAACAAGAATAATTTCCCTAAATGGATTCAAATTTAGAAAAATAAAAAAAAATTCGAATAATAAATCAAATATAAAAAGCATGCAACGAAATTAGGTATGCAACTTTGTTTTAGGACTCAAAAATGTACTTTAGTTTGGACAGTGGTAATTTCAGGTAATTTTATAACCTAGAAAGAAGATAGCATTTACCTTAGTTCTGAGGCGAAATAATGCAAACACAATACATGACACTCAAATCCGAAAGTTGAAACTAACGTATTTTATATTAGGTAAATAATCCCCAGAAACTGAAGCGGTAAGTTATTGTTTAATTAAAAAACTTGATCCGCTTCAAAACTATACGGATTGGAAATAATAGTCGACTTGTTCAAAAAATACTCACCCGTTTTGAAGTCTTGTCATACGTGAATGAGAAGAAGGAAAAGTGATTTGAAGTATGAAACATAAAATTGCTAAAAAAAATATGCATACTTCAAATATATATTTACGTTTTGTATTTCAAATCACTTTTTCGTCTCACTTGCGACTAACAAGTCTTGAAAATGAGCGCCTTTTTTAAGTGCTTGAAACACGCCGACGTATTTCTAATCTGCAGTTGAAATTCTAGTCGGAATAGAGTTCATGCGAACGAATTAAAAAACGTGATTTCCTTATTATTAATTTAGTTGTGCTATCATTCAAACAAATGATGGCTAGTGAAAATAAGCTACACTTTTCCAACTATGATATTTTTTTACATTTCTCACCTCCTTTGTCTTGTTTTTAAACGGACACTTTAAAAGTTTATTGCATTTTCACTAGATAGCAGCACAATACGCTGCTATCTCTTATAGTGCACTATAAAAAATAGATACTCAAATATTACAAAAATTTCCGGATTTTTGTTGGAAATATTTCCTTGTATATTCCCAGAGCAAACATTTCGTCAATGTGGTAATATAACTACAGTCGCGTCTTCGAGAAAACTAATTTTGACAAAATTAGGGAAATATTTCATCATCCTATGTTGTTGTGTTTTTTTCTAAAATAAAAATAAAAAGACCTCGTATGGTGTAATGCATTGAATTTTTTAATAATCATTTCAACGTGGGTACCGTATAGGTGGATCAATATTACCCCAACAACACAAGAAGGTCAAGTAGAACAGAGAGATATGTCAGACATGCTTGAAGCGGGATTCAAACCCTGGATTTTCCTGGCATGATGACAACACCTTGAGCCCTATAGAGCTCGGTCAGCATATTTCTTCAATTTTTTTTCTATCGTCAAGTTTTCAAACTAATTTCGTCATTCTAGTTAAGCAATCTCCCACAGTGCACTACGATGAGGTTTCGAGTAGAGGAAACATTTTCGTCGTACATTTGAGAGCTCGCGTTTCATCACAAATCACGTATTGTGATGAAATTATTCTCAAAATAAAGGAAGTACAGCTCAAAGATTGCTAAATCGTCAAAAGTGAGTTTTATTTCCGTGAATGTGTGTATATGAAAATTCGAATATTTTTAGTGCTTTTATTTGAACAATTTGTATTTTACCATCAAATTTGACAAAACCTTTTCTTTTAAAGCATTAACTGTACAAGCAATAAGATTTCAATGGTAAATATATGGTAAACACTATGATTATCCTTAGAAATTGAACTAATTATAATTAGAGCAAAATTACTAATCTAGCCTTCTCCAAAATACCAAGTATTTTCTCAAATTTAGAAGAAATGAAAAGTTTTAAATTTCAACTCACAATACGTTTTTTTGAACACCTCATTGCTGCTAAACTAAATATTTTTCTTTCACTATGTACATGATTTCCTTATTTACTTTTTTTGCAGCCGAAGCACCAATAGGCGAAACGGAGAAAGTCATTGACGAGGCTCTTGTGAATAAAGGCGCTATTCCTCGGATCATCATCATCACAGTGTCTGTGGTTGGATCATGTTTGCTGATGCTGAACATCATCCTGGTCATCTGTTTCGTACGGAAGCGCAGGAAGAAGAGGCTCGAAGAAGGTAGGGCATCTGGGGATGGAGATCAGGATTTGTGTCTTTTCTCAATGGGTAAATTAAGTTTCGGTGACAGTCTTCCTCCTCCGCATGTTCTTCTCCTCCTCTTTTGCTTAACGGTTCATTTTGTAAGTCTTTGCAGTAATGTCTTCCCTAAACCTTTATGTGGTTGTTTCAACCACGCAATGGTAAACAGGATATGCGGGATGAAATGAGGATTTGCGGATTTTTTATTGCAGTTAGGAACATCAAATATGCATAATAGCAAATTATTAATATTAGAAAAGTACGACTTTTTTAAAATTCAATTTCTCGGGAACTAATCGACCGATTTTGCTAAAATTTTGTATTTTGCCATTTAAAAGCGCACTCTTAAAAATGTAAAAATTTTATAATTATGTGCGAAACTTTTCCCATTCATTTAAAAAGTTCTCGGGGTATGATGAAATAAGCAAAAATTGAAATTTACATTAAGGGGTCCAAACCAAAACTGATCCTCCTGACTAAACTATTGGGACCATATTTTTAAAATTGCTGCTAACCCCCCCCCCCCATTTTGAGGGTTATAAATCTAAACCAATCTGAAAAAGGCATGTTTATTCGGAGAAAGTGTGATTTTGTGATTTGATTTCCTTACTTAAAATACCTTTTACGCTAATTAATTAGCATATTTGTGGTCTTCTTTTTGAATACTTAAGATTGAGTCCCGGAAATTGAAGATCCGATCATTAGATCAAAATTTATTCCGGGTGCTTCGTTTTTTATTTTGCTTCCTGTACAAAAAACTGCAGAAAGAATTTCGATGATATAGTTAAATATATTTTCTTTCTTAAAAGCATTTATCACTTTATGATGATATTTTACTTTTTAACCATTTTAGAAAAGTGTCTGTAACTTATAATTAAATGATATTAGTATTATCTGCTTAATTTTATCAAAAACGGAACTAAATATTATTCAAACACTTTCCTTTCTTTTAAAAAATGATAAGTAAATTGGTTTTATTTACAAAAAAATTTTAAACAGTAAACTATGTATAGAATAATATGAACCATAACTTTTCATTAATTAATATTTTTTAAAAATATCTTCTATTCAAGCATCCTTAGAATGCATATTTCAACGACACCATAAAAATAAGAATTTCAATTAAGTAGCACTTAATAATCTAAAAAAGTAAGGAAAAATAAAAATAAATATGGCATTGGGAATATAGTAAATATAGTACCAAGGAAATATAACGCATGTAGATTCACAATTCCCCATCGCAATTTCATAAATTAAAACTTTAATAAAGGAACTAATACTTTCAGGGGAAAAAACATTCCAATTACAGAAACTATTCAAGCTTCTTCAAAGACGTCATAAGCATTCCATTTATTGAAAATTGGTCTGCTAGTAGGAATTATTTCAACAACCGCGCTTCTAACAACGGTAGTTGGTGGTAAATGGCAATTTGAATAACATCTGCAAAAATAGGATTAAGAATTTGAGTGGTCACTCTATTTAGTGCAAGGTTCCTTCGATATGAGTTCAATATTTCTGCCAAACACTTTGATAAACTATGTATAATTGTTTTATAAAATGTAATAAAAAAAATTCATTAATTAATATGAATTCAAAACGAAATAATTTAACGTTTTTATGCACATTTGTCATATCGTAATTTTTTCCTCTTGATGGCTTTCCCCTGTATTTGTAGTTTAATTTTAAACAAATATTTCAATTACTAGTGACATTATTAATTCATAAAATAAGACATTACTGCAGTTGCAACATTTATACATGCTTAAATGGTGCATGGAAATATTATTCTACTTTTCCTCAGCTTTATGTGCTTATATAGTCCTTGGCTTTTTCAATTTTTATCTCTAATCTAATAGTTAAAAGTTTTGATAAGAAAGTTTAAATATCTAACACATTTTAAATAAAGATTTTTACATGGAAAATTATGAGAGAAATAATACGAAATTTCATAAAAGGGAGCAAACAGTATAAATTACTTATTTTTCACTGTTTGAAAACAGCATTTCTAATTTAAAACATATTTTTGCGCATTCCTCTTAATATTACAATTATACAATTTTGGTTCCAACATTCAAAAGAAAATTTAATCAAATAACAAAATCAGCACGGTTGGGTTTGTAATTTTTGGTTTTCAACTTAAACAAATTTTAAAAAAAAATTGTTTCTTGTACAAAAATTTTATGGAAAGGAAATAATATGGAATTCGAATTTCTTCCAATTCTGCGCAGTTATCACTTAAATATAAAGAAAAATTGATTGTTGAAATATCTCAGAATATTTTTTTATTTCGTTGGTTATCTGCTGGTAACTATTTGTCATTAATTTAATGATTTTATATAATACAACCGTAATTAAAATCAATTGTCAGACATTAAGTGAAAAAGATAAACTTATGATGATTAACTAGTATTTAAGTGAGAAAGAACTATATCAAATTCTGATGCAGCATTATCGAGGAAAGTCTCATTAAAACAATTCTTGAAATGAAATTTTTTGAATTTGATTCTTAAAATATTAAGGGCAATGATAACATAACAACCTGTATATGGATGTTAAATACCAGAAAATGTTTTGTCAAAGCCGTTATTGAAAAAAGTACAGTCTATAATTAAGTTTTTTCCTCATGCAATTTGAGGCATGCATCTGCTAAAAATTATTTTCACAAAATTTTACATTATAGAATGAAAAGTTAAATTATTTTTATTGAGAATTGGCAAATCAAAAATTTATCTATTGTCTGATCTTTTTCTTATAATTTTGACTAAGAGAAAAATTAAACTCACAAGAAAAACTGAATTAACAGTTTATTTAAATTTTTATAATGCAACTAAAATTTAAAATTTGTAAATAATCATTAAAGCGCTTACATTTCACTTATTTCAGTTATTGTGAAAGATTGATCACTATTGCTTTATTTGTTAATATGAATCAATCCTATAACAAAAGAGAAAAAGAGAAATACCCAATTTTCAACTCATTCCTTTTTTTGGTATTAATTTTACCCATTTAACACAAAATTGCATCTTATACTTATTTAACACAAAATTGTGTACTTATACATTTTCATAAGGTTTTTTAATCAAATTTCATGTATTTATCTTTTAATTACCAAAGTTGATAAAAATTGTATTAATTATAAATGCTTTCATTAATATTAAAAACTTCTAGAATTGTATTATTTTTCTTATTCTTTCTTTCTGTATGCTGCATTGGTAAGTGCTGCAGAGGTTGGCAAAGATTTGTCACAGTAAGTACTTCATAAAATCTATACCCCCTTTTCATTCTTATGACCATTTTTAAACACAATTAAATAATAAACTGAAGATTAAGAAATGTCGCATGTTTGCTTGAATCAGCTAATTTGTTTTTTAGTCATTTAAATTTATTTTATCCAATAAATATTTTTATTAAACTACTTTAGTACAAACTTTCATTACTTTTTTGGAAAAGTTTTGTTTTATCTAATATATAGATTTTATAATTAGTTTTTCAGGAGAGCAAACAAAATGTGCAAAAAGTGACTCAGTTTAAAAGAATGCATTTTTCCTCGATGCACTTTTAGATTACAAAATTCTTTGGGAAATGTTGTTATGAATAATAAATTGCTTAGAACTAAAAAAATTTTAAATGTCTATGTTAATGTTTTATAAGAAGCACAATTCCATAAAAATATTGATACACAATAAAAACATTAAAAATAAATAAAAATATCGAGCATTTTTAATTTATTGGATACATTTATTTATTTTTATTTATTATTTATGATTCTGCGTTATTTGTTGAAAGTTTAGATGCATAAAAAGTTCTGATTAAAATTTCAAAAGAAATATGCGCGTTTACTTAGCATGTTTTAGCAAATATTTTTTAGTTTTACCAGCTTCTTGATCTGTATCATAAGATTTCTGTTAAAATTATATTTTTTTCAGACTTATATAAAAACATAAAATTTTTACTTTTTTTCTAATCAAGGAATATTTTTATCCAACTATTTAGTTTTATAAAATAAAAATTCAAATTTGTTGATACTTTTTTTATATTAAAACAAGACGCTCTAATTTTAAAAAACTGCTGCATATCACTGATAAAAAAATACAGACAACACAACTTTGATAAAAATAGCTCTTCGAACAAATCGATTTTCATAATAAAACTTTTAATACAACTCTCATCCCAATTTTCTTTTCCCAATAAATGAAAATCTCCATGCATAAGCATTCTCTTTATTATACTCTTCTCTTAACTGTAAACAGCACTTTCATAAAAAGAAAAGTTTGGGACTTTTGATGGAGAAAAGGATGAAAGATACCCGACAATTTGTCTACCCGATCGGCAACAGGAGACCCAGAAACTTGATTACCTTACTGAAGAATTTAATTAATGATCCTGCTGCTCAGTTCCTTAAACAAAAATGTCGATTCCGAATTCTTTAACCCATCATGTCTCAAACTTATCAATTATACTCAGCAGTTTTTTTTTCTTTTCTTATCCGTCTTATCATGAATGGGAGTTCTTATCGGTTCCGTATCGGTTAACGATACCTAATTTATCAAAGGTTAAGTTGACTTATCTGTGGTTGGACAACAAAAAATACATCCTGAGGCGAGAAATTTGGCGAGTGATATAGAAAAGAGGAAAGAATTTAGATAGAATCTATATAATGTTTTGTTTATTTTTCTCTACGTTAATATATACACCATCAGTTTGTTAGGAAATAATTCATTAAAATAAATATTTTATTTTGACAAATTAGTATGATTTAATATTTTTAAAAATATGTTATTAAATATTAATAATATTTAACATTAGAAAGACTGAACATTGTTGTATACCTAGGAAGACCGAAGAGGCCAGTCTGACCCTTCCCGGATTGTTTGTGTGTTTATTTACTAGACATGAAAAATCTTAGAATATAATCATAATTATTTTAATAAAAAATATGTTAGCGTCTCGATCATCAAAGTTATGGTATTTTATTTCATTTGATTAATGAAAATATCTGATTAAAAGGAACGCTGACTTTTCGATTATACTTATACATTAGTTCCTAAGATAATTCTCTTTCCTTTTCTCAATAAATAGTTATTGAAGATACATTAAAATAACTTTTAATGAACATGGGGAAACTTTTACACCTAAAGTGCACCTTATAAACAAACACACATACATACCTGGGGTTAAGGGGTACCCTACCAAAATAACTTAGGGAACTCTCTGGCCCCTGCAGTCATTCTAGGTATTAGTGCTTTATAAGTGCGTTCTCATAAGGCTACCACATGATTCTATAGGCACTTAAATTTGATCACATTATGAAAAGGCAGAACTACTCCTTAGTTTCAGTAAGTTTTTTTTAATTACTGTGCAGTAGAAAGCAAGAAGAGTCGAAATGGCCCCAGTCTTACTTTTAGTGTTAAAAGACAATTTTTTTCTGCTTTCAAAACTAACTTTCATATTTATTGTAACAATTATTAAACTACTATAATTCAAATTAAAATATTATCTATCTATTCTTTGCTTCATTTATTCTTTACGAGCTTATCTATAGGATAATATATTAATATATTCTACGATACGATATTCTGCGATCTATAGATATTACAAGCTTATCTATACATATTGCGAGCTTATCTATTCTTTTTTTTAATTTATGTGACTATTTTTTTTTTGAACAAATTAATGTTATTTTGCAAATAAAGATTTGACTATTTCAAATAATGTCTGAATAATTTCTTATCTTTAACCCTTAAGCCATGATGGTTCTTATTTTTCTCCCTTATAGAAAGTGATCATTCCAGCAGCAAGGCGGCAACAATAGAGATGTATGCCCCAAGCAGCTACAATGAAGGTCTAAATGGTGAGAGCCTTAGCTGTAATTCAGAAAAAAGTGATAACTATTCCGACGGTCACAGTGCCGGAGGATATTCGGTAAGTGATTTTTTTCACCTTTTCTTTCTGGATCCTTTTACTATTCATTGTTGGATAATGCGATTTCTTTCCATGTCAAATGCATTGTTAATATATTTTGGGGATTTTCAGATAAAGAATTTGTTAACCTTGCTTGTTTACTTTTATTTATTTACTATAAATATAGGATACTAATAACAATTGAAAGCAAAATTAACGTTTAAACTGTATTATTTTTGTAAAATTCAAAACAGAAAGAATTAATGCACCAGCATTGGCAAAAAATACATTGTTTCTTTTGATTATATAAATCTAGGATTGTTTAGACAAAGTTCCTGATATTTTTTTTATATTTTTATAGGGAAATCAATAAATAATAAAGCTTATATTTTTAAGGTGCAATTTTTCTTAAGAGAATTGATATCTAAAATATTTTTACATTGACATAAATAAACATTCTTTAATTTTTGTACCATATATTGGAAACTGATAACAGTTAAAAGCAAAATTAACTTTCAAATTACAGAGTACTTTCAAAAATACAAAATAAATGAAAATTAATACATCAACATTCATGAAAAATACATTGCTTTGTTTGGTAATATAATTTCAGAATCTTTTAGATAAAGCACTTGCTAATATTGTTTTAATTTTGATGATTTTGTAGGAAGATCAATAAATCTAGCTTTTAAAGTGTATATCCTCTTTTTAAAATAATAAATATCTGAAATATTTGTATATTGATATAAACACATTTTCAATTTCTATAACCTGTTTTAGGGGTTTTAATAAATTATGATATTTGTTAACATTAGGATTTTATTTCAGTTTACTTATGTTATGGAATCTAACCCGAAATAATTTAAAATGTAACCATTAAACTGGAATATTTTTTAGAATAATAAATCTCAAAAAATTAACGTATTGCATTAGTTAAGTTCTTGTAACGATGAAAACAAAACTTGAATTTGATCAAAAGTTTAAATAAAAACAAATTCTATAATTGAATTAATAAAACACTCATAATAATTTATATCGTAATAAACATTAACATTAAAAAAACATTAAATAAAAAAGAATTGCTTGTTTTTGTTCATAAAGACCAGTGAATGAGATTAAATCACTTAAGCCTGTCACTCAATTAAAAAAGTTGCGACTGAAAAAAAATCGAGCTTAATTCAAAACGATAGTAATTACAATATTTAAAAGCTGAAACAAATCAAGAAATAATTGAAATAAAAGCTATTCTTGTTGTTGTTGTTAATTTACGTCGCACTAGAGCTGCACAATGGGCTATTGGCGACGGTCTGGGAAACATCCCGGAGGATGATCCGAAGACATGCCATCACAATTTTGATCCTCTGCGGANTAATAAACATTAACATCAAAACACATTAAATAAAAACGAGTTGTTTGTTTTTGTTTACAAAAACCAGTGAATGAGATTAAATCACTTAAGCCTGTCAGTTAATTAAAAAAGTTGCGACTGAAAAAAAAAATCCAACTTATGTCAAAACGATAGTAATTATAATATTTAAAAGGTAAAACAAATCAAGAAATAATTTAAATAAGAGCTATTCTAAAAACAACTTCATAAACCTCAGCAATTGCTGTTACCATGTACTTAAAATGTGTTTCAATTTCTATGCGAAAGTTTAAACCATCGAAAGAAATCTTTAAAAAATTATAACTATTCCCCCATGTCCCTCCTGAAATATAATAGCTGATAACACATGCATTTCAATAATTATCGCGAGTTTTGACCCCATTTTGAACTCTGAAAACAATTGAATAATAGTACTTCGCTTATAGTTAAATTTTGAAACTTACATATAAAAGCTTTAAATAGTTCAAAATACTATAAGTATTTCTCTAATCACACACAATTTTTTACAGGAAGAACAGGTTAAATCTGAAACTACAGCCTATATCTCTGCGCATGCAGATAATACTTATATAGCTGATTCTTCCATGCCTTATTATTGTCCTTATCCATATCCCGATCAAGGTAAGATAGTTTCCTAACATATTATATTTGTTTTAAAAGGCATGTATTTTTTTTTAAATGTTTGACATCAATTAATTTATTTTAATTTTGTGGGTACTAATTATAGCTACACAATTATAGCTCTTACAATTTTAGATAGTCCTCCTCGTTCCACTTTCTAAAACATAAATCTGGTATTGTTAGATTAAAAATCGTATTAAAGCGTAACAACCTTAAAAAATATTTCTCATCGATCAATATTTTGGATCGGGATAGCTCAAAATGTTCGTTTTAAAGCATGGATTCATCTTAAAAGGAACGTTTAAAATTGATATACGCATATAAGACAACAATGATATGTAGCTTTCAATGCGTATTTAAGATAATTGACGTAACTTAAAACGTAGTCTTGGAAAAAATGAACATACTTCAAAATTGTGCATTTGAATAAATGGGCTTGACTTGAAATTAAGCGTTTGAAGAAATGGAAATGACTTGAAATTTTTCTTCAATTTTATTTTATAACTATTGTTGAAAGCCGACACAATTCTGAATTCACGACTACCAATGTTCATTTCCGTAACTTTGTAATTTTGAACCGTACTCAGTCAACGAGGGATTTCCTGGGTCAAAAATTGTCCCGAACTAGCTTTTGTGGGGGAATTTTTGATGGAACTAACCGAATTTACGTTACATGGAGAGGAAAGCAATGAAAAATTCCCACTTTTATCCCGATGACAAGTGGACTCTAACTCATAATCCATCTACCACTGAGGATATTTTTACGTCAGCACTATGGTCGGTTCGAGCCTGAAGTAGAATTTGTGACACAAAGTCACCGATGTGATTTGAACCTAGGTTTCCTCATTGGGAGGTGAACGCTCTATCCCTTGAAAATTAAAATAGCACGAAATGCTAATTTTCAATTTTAAATAAAGAACTAAAATTGACACAAATCCGTTATTCTAAAAAAAAAAGCAATCCAAACCAATATAATCATTAGTTTTTATTAAAAAAACATTCCGAATAATCACTATACATTTTAAAATGCATACGTCACAGTAAATAAAATATAGAATCTAATGTTATCATTATTTTCATAAATATATGTGTCCATTTTGTTAAATTCTCTTTTAACAACCATGTAAAAATATAATTAAAATAGTATTTAATAGGTAATATCACAATAATAACTTAATACCAAATATATGATAATGCTCTAATGTTTTAATTTCTTTTTTCACATTTAGTTTAAATACTTTGTTTTCAATTCTCGCCTTATTCAATCATTGTTTTATCAGAAGGCAATTTTAACAACTTTGTAAAAAATGCTTTTAAAATAGTATTTAATAGGTAATATCACTAAAAAACGCAACTATTATATACCATTTTCATGATGACGCTCTAATGTTTCAATTTCTTTGTTTCGAGCTTAGTTTAAGAATTTTTTTCAATTCTAGCAATGTACAAACATTGTTTTATAAAACTCACGTCACTTCTCCTTGCATAAGCAGTCAACAATAGAGTTGCGAATTTCCTCTAAACAATTTCAATAATCCTGAGACAAAATTTATACGACTTTGCAGTGACAGTAAAGTTATTTAAATATCACTCCGAAAACTAGTGTCAACGACAGCAAAAAATAAAACTGGTAATTTCTTTTTATACCTATTTGCAAGAATGGTATAAATTTCTTTTTTTGCTGCATTTTCCATTCATCTGTCCCAAGTAAATTATTACTACAAGGAAGACAGGAATTTTGGGAATGCTGAAATAAAGTTAGTAACATTTTCCGATTTTTTTATTTTTCTTCATCGCGCCCTTTTTTGATTATTTTCCATCCCTATTCTTAAGAGAGCGCGATCCAGCTCTAAATAAGATGGGGGATGGGAAAAAAAAGCTCCAAATAGAAGTGGCCTGGCGGAAAAGAAATCAATACTTATGGAAGTTGGAATGTTTACCAGGGAATTTCGAGACGTAGCGAAACCTTCTTGGAAAATTTCGAGAATGAAAATATAAATTCTGATAGTTTTTTTTTATTAGTTTTTTTTAAAGAATGACTCAAAATATTCAAGAGGAACATTTTTATTTTTTGTTTTTTATCTGGATTAGTGAAGGATATCTAGGTACAAAAGAGTTAAAGAATTCGAAACAGGGAATAGCACCTGCTGCTGAATGTCACATCTAAATATGCGTATTTCTTTTTTGGTTATTTTATTTTTCTTTCGTGAGGAGGTAAAGAAGTTTTGAGGATTTTATTTGCCGAAAAAGTTTTCTTGTTTTATATCGGAAAATGATATCTTGGATGGCTAGGAGAAGAGATTTAATATTAATACGTTTCGAAAGTTGAATATATCTTAGCGAAACCGAACTTCTGCATTTTATTTTGGAAAAATGTTTTTTTTTTATTATTATTCTGGTTACAGAAATTTGTAATTAAACTTTGAAATTAACTTTATTTATCAAAAAAACTAATCAGAACTTATTGAACTTGGAATTATTCTTCAAGTAATTATTCGAACACCATATTTATAGCCTTCATTAAAGCTAGAGTAATAAATTAAGTCTAGAGTTCCAAAATTCAACCAGTGTAATAATCTAAGCAATCTCAATCTTAAGGGTTCGAGGAGGTGACCTCATATATGCTAATTAATAAGTCCAGATGATACTTTTAGTTGGGAAATCAGACACAATAACGTACTTTCTCTGAATATAGATATAGATGGTAGCCACAAACTGGGAATTATGGTCCCAATAGCTTGGCAAAGAGAGCTCTCCAAACTTTAGTTCCTTAATGTTAAATTTTATTCTACTAAAATTTTAAGTATCTGACTTTCTTGAAATTCGATTTCTCAGGAACTATTCGACCAATTTTGCTCAAATTTTGTATTTTGCTACAGAAAATTATATTCTTTAAAACAATGCAAAAAATTGTGTATCTTACAATTCGACATTTTATAGAATATTCTCAACTAAAATAAAAAATAATAAATATTTACTAAACGTTACTTTTTGCATGGAAATATTGTTGGGTAAACAAATTTTATGATTATGTGTAAAAATGTTTTAATTCACTTTAATTCTTAGGTATGGTAAAATGCACAAAAAGTAAAATTAATATTAAGGGGTCCAAACTGTGGAGCACTCCCCTGACCAAGCTAATGGGATCATATTTCTCAGATTACGGCAACCTCCAAAATTTCAGGGGTCAGAAATCTGAATCCGTCAAAAAAAAAGGGGGGGGGGCATGTTTATTCTGAGAAAGTACGTTTTTGTGTCCAATTTAGTAACTTAAAATCCAGTACTTATTAATTTGCATATTTACCTTAATGCTTAACCAATCTCAAAGATTCGAGGGTCAACCCTTCAAACCATTAAGATTTAATTTTAGAAAGTGAAAATCCGGTTGTTAGATCAAAAGTTATTCAGGGTGGTTCGTTTTTTTTTTTATTTCAACTGTACATGTGTCTTTTAGTAGGCCGTAAAAACGAATTTTCACGTAGTTATCCAAGCGCCAATAGTAGTATATTTAGAATTTTTGGAAAGCACCATTCAAAATAATAGTTGCACAAATAACTAAAATTACACTTCATTGATGCCAACAACGATTTGACAAGTTTTTAAGCCTTAAATAAACGAATAAGTAACTCTCCCAACAACTTATAATTCAATACCATTTTTTTATTTCAATTTGTATAAATTAACAAAATTGTTTCATTGTTATTCCCAAAAATAATTATTAATATTTTAACTAATATTTTATAATAATTTTTTGGACGAATTATTATCGGTACTTAATTCGAAAGTTGTAAGAAATCGCTACATTATTATTAACCCCAATAATTCTTAATTAAATGTGGCATTAAATACTTTTGGTATTGCCATTTCAAGTGGTAGGAAGAACCTATTTTAACAAGGTACATAATATCGGTACTGTAGTGATCGATATTTTACCTGGTGATCGACACAGCATAAAAATTTTACGAGCACTTTAATCCCTAATTGATACATTTTATCAAGAGAAAAGATCAAATTATATTTTTTTCAAAACAAAAAGTATAGTATTTCCTATCGCTCAAGATAGATGGCATCACTAAATATTATTTTTTCTCCGTGTTTACTGTAAAAGTTTTGAGGTTGGTACTGCTACAAAATTACTGCAGTTTACAAACTGCAGTAATTTTGCAGTATTTCTGCTTCAAAAATTCTATAGCGGAATTGGCCAAATCACCACAAACATCGAACTGCATTTTTTTACAGATTTTCTGCAGTTTATTTTCAGCTGGGCCAAAATTGATAAAGTAGCCTAACATCACTAACCTACGCATTCTTAGCAGCTAATATAAAACATTTTTTTAAAATTATTATTTGTTGTATATTAGGGTGCAGCTTCATACTATTAGATTTCAGAATCTGAGTTAGATGCTCAACTGACTAAAATAAAGTTAAAACTTTAAGTATTGTATCATTTAGAAAGTAATATTCAGGATTTACCATAATTTTTCAATGGCTTAATAGATAAGCGAAATTTTTATTTCATTAATTTCTGCTGAGTTTCCTCTAATTAAGTTTGCAGAAACAAACTTTAAAGGCGTAAGTATGAATTCAAAAAACGCGTGATGTCATAAACTTTTAAAGATATGAAATCAGTGACGTCATTCTCGTACTTGGCAAACTTAGAATTTATTAACATTAGTTTAACTTGTTATAATCTAACATAGGAAACTATACAAAAATAAAATGCAAGAATGCGTGATCAAACTATTTTATGATATATTAGAGATGCAAGCTTGTAAATCATCCATATAATAATTATATACACACATATATTATAACCGTCATTGAACAGCCAACCCAATTTTTGGGTTTACGATTACTAATGATCAACTCCGTAGCCTTGTAATTTTGAACCAATCCAGAAGATAAGGAAACTTCTGGATCAGTACGCCAGAGGTATTGTTTTGTCATGGGAACATGGATGACTTTGCAACTCGACAGATTTAACGGGCATCAGTCACCATTTACTACACGGCGTGTCTTCGGCCGTCGGGGATCAAACCAACGAACTCTTGAACATGGGCCCAGCGCCCTACCGACAAGGTTATGCCCTCCTCTAGTTAAATATTTATCAAGTCTTGTGGAAAATTCTTTCATTGGATTGTTAAGCTTGAACCGGTGATAGGATTGAGTTTCAAACAGACAGGTTTGCCATGTCTTTTAACGTATAATCACCGAATTTGGTGCAGATAGGTATATAACTACGAGCTTGTATATGAGCATACACACATACATAAAAACATTCTGCTTTATTTATATAGATATGCATTTCCTTTCATAGCTTTTTGATTAAACAGTGACATTGTTTCCGCTTTTTTAATAATAAATATTTTTCCTTTCTAGTTAACTTGGAGGATAGATATGATAGAAGTGCACCAGTGCCAAATAAGCTTCTATATGGTACTGAGGAAGAATTTTACACAAATGCCTTACGAAGAAATGCTTACAATCTTAAGTTAGGCGATAGACCAGATGTAAGTTTTTTTTTTGTACATTTACATTACATTATTCACATTCACACGAAAATTATAAAATTTTAACTTTTTTTTTTCATCCAGGTATGAATTTAAATTAAGCGTAAGTTTTCAACGTAATCTGTTTCCTATTAATAACAATATACAAGAATTAACTCCTAGTGGCTTATCAAATTGTTAAGTGCATAAAAACAAAAACAGAACTTATCTTGATAGTAAAATCGGTAAAGATTGCGTGCACAGTTTTTTAAGTAGATTATAAAATTTTGGCAGCAGATGGCAACTTAAAATCACCATTATATCGAAACTAAAATCCATATCTTAATGCTATTGTATTAATAATCCAATCTGTAATCAGGTCGGAGACCATTGTTCCATAAAATATGTGACTACATTTGGAACATAACTAATTTTTAAGGCGGAATCAATTGCTATGGACTTTAGATTACTTTTTAAAGAGACTCTGTTATGCGTCAGCAGTAAATTGTGCAGCTAATTCATACAGCTTCTGACCATACAGCTCTGAAATAATTATGAAAATTACATTCGAAATTTCTTAGTTTTCACAAGCAATGGGTTGTTTTGCTTCATTTTATACCTTTATCTCTATGTCGTTTAATTTTCAAAGCACTGGACACACACTGTATACTTTTCTGGTGCCGGACATATAGTGTAAAAGTTTCTAATTTAGATGTTGTATTTGGTTTTAACGTAATTTCAAATATGTATTGTATTAATTTGTATTATATTTTTAGACTTACGAGAAAGCTCTATATCCTCCTCCACCTCCTGGTAGGACGGCGGCTAGTGGGGCAGAGGTGCACCTCCCTCCTTCAGAAGAGCGTCATTACGTTCCTTATCCTCCGGGTGGCACTACCTCCAAACCATCACCTGCTCTCAGCACATTTAACCCCCATCTTCAAGGCTCTCCCTTGCATTCAACACCAAACCAGTGCAATCATATGTCTTCAGCAGAGGGTGTCATTGTTCATAGCGAGATGGATGGCCATCTGGTTTGACGAAGTACCCCCGTTTAGCTTGGTAGAATACCAAGTTTAATAGGATATTGTTAAAAAAATCAACAATGAATCATCAATTCTTGATTCCGATTGGTTTATAAATGCATTGTCTGTTAGTGCATTTTGGACATATGAATCCTACAATGACTGCCATCTGTTGAAAGAACATTTTCTCTTCTGATTTCATTTGAATGTTCGTCATATCTAAGTAAATTTTGTAGATAAGCCTATTCGAACAGAACACCTTCAGATGCTGGTAACATCATTCCATATCGATGTCTACTGGATTACCTTTGGGCCAAACTGTGGCGTGGCACTCAAGTGGATTTCACTATTTTTGTGCTTGCTTTCTTACATCAATGGCACGTGTGTTGTGTGAATTATACTCGCTACCTCGTGCTTCATCAATCGCTTTATCCATTACATAAAAACCCATTTAATTCATCTTCTACAGTCTGTAATAATCGGTAATCGATTCAGAGGGATGAACCATGTGACTTCTCCCCGATCTCTTGTACAGATGATAGCCCTATCTCGTGGATGTATATCCTGCCGCCGACGAGCTTTAATTGAAATGACTTGTGGTGCTCAAGTTTTGTAAATCGTGCTTCAAAAAAAAAAGAACTTCTCTGTGTGCCTTATCTTCAAGCGTTTTTATTCCTTGGATATCCATTCGAAGGACTTATACGAGTCAGTGTGATTGCAAACGGTGGGCTGAAATCAGCGCTCGCATGTGTTTGATCAGGTCAATTAGCAGAGATATATTCTAAAGCAAGATGAATAAATTATTTATTCTGAATTGTGAGCAATAAGTTGAAAATTCAGAGAGTGAATCTTTGTTAGATATTATTGTAAGTACCATGTTGACTATGAAATGATTTCATTTTGTTTAACATTTGTTCTTTTGAAAAGTAAAGAATAAATTTGTTGAGTTTAATGTTTCAGTTGTTTTTAAGATTTGACTTAAAAATTTATTAACGCAATTTAGGTTGCAAATTCTGCACTTCTTCAACTAACAAATTTAAAATTATTGCAAAATTACTTAGCAAACAATATTGGATAAATAAATAAAACGCAGTTTCATATATTTTTTTGAAACTGAACAATTTTAGATTTTTTTTGTCGGTTTAAACTGATTGCTGATTTGATTATTGATTGCTAATTTACTGATTGCTTACAGCTTTGTCTGTTTGCAAACTAGTGTTGATATAAAATATAATGAATGCGTTCCCGGTTTTTATATGAACTCTTGGAAGTCTTTTTACTTACGATGTAAGTATAGAGATCACTATTTATTGATCGATAATGTTGACTTGTTTTATTGTTTAAATTATTGTTATTTATTTGAGTTTTACGCATTTTATACTATTTTTTTCCTAATTGTGTATTTTTGCCTTTCAAAAACTGTACTTATTGCCTTTAGCTACTTAATTTTACATTTTATAAAGTTTGTTGCATGTGTTTTATATCAACATGCTAAATTTCATTTTATTTTTACGCATTTTGATCTCTTTAGGATGTATTTTTTTAATTATTGACGTAGCAAAGAAATTAAATACTAAAGGTGATAAATTTTAATCAAGTACTTGGAAAAAGATATACAGTAAGTGCTTTATGTTAGTTTCATTATTTCATCACGAGCTATTTTATATTTAGTTCTGATAATGTGGAATCTTTCAGTGTTTCTTATTGTTTCAGTGGATCAAAACCAATTAACGGTTTTGTTTTGTGTTTATTGATATAATAGATATCTGACAATTATAAAAAATACATTTTTTTTTCAAATTGAAACTTTTTTGATCATACAAAAAGTGTAAATATTATTTCAAAAACTGATTGGAAAGGTCTATATACAGTGTTATTTTTATATTGGACTCTAAATTAAAATTAGTACATAGTGTTTATATTTTCATAACTTCGATTGAGGAATCCATTTAAGTAGACTGAGAAGCACTGACTAAAATTTGTTACCTTGTTTCATTTGTAAATATTCATCAAATTGATTTCATTGTGTTTTTACTTTACTTTTTAGTTACTGTATAAATCATAAAAAAAGGATCAGAGAAACATTAATGGCAGCCTAAACTTCTGATTACAAGTTTGAATACTTTTAAGTTAAATTTCGGTTGTTAATTTTTTTAAATGTTTATTTTCTCTGATGAATATGAAAAAATCAATATCTATATAGCAATGCAATAAGCCTAGATACAAATTAACTGTGATTTAAGTTTGGTTAACTAATTCTTTGGTTGACAAACCTCGAATTAAAAGGGAAAAAAAGTTTATTTTGACTTTCTTTTGACCTGATAACAAAAAGTCATGGATTAAGTAAAATACTATTCGTTTGTATTTAAAATAGAGCTAAGTAAAACAAAACTGCAATTTTTGAGTGTGTTTGTAGAATCAAATAGGCAAAAGTATTATTGCAAAATTATCAATATAAATACGTAACCCATTAGACTTATGTTTAGTTAGAGATAATAGTAATTAGTAGGAAAGGACTATGAAGAATTTTAAGTTTGATAATCTTTTAAATTATTAGGAATTTTATTAGTTTTTTGGAGCAAAATCTTGAATATTTTGAATCGTTAAGTACATATGCAGCAGTCAATATTTCCTAATACCCTATATGAAACAAAACACATACCGTTATTTCATTGAAGATATATTTTGTTTCATAAAATTATGGTGGCCTTAAAGTTCCTAATCCATTTTGACTAATTTCTGAGCTATTAAAACACTATATTATTTTAAATTGATTAGTTCTTAAATGTAGTTTCCTAATTAGTATTGTGACAATTAAGTATATACACATTTATGAACAATTTATGTAGCATAATATTTTAAACTAACAAGAGCTCAAATTAGAGCAAAGCATTTTAACCCATTAAGGTTTTTTAATTATTATTATTGTTGTTCGTTTCATGTTCTAAAAATAAACTCAAGACTTAAATTTGGATAGTTAACAAGGAAAAATTAAATTTAAAATGTAACTAGATATTTGGTTTTGTAATGGTCACTGTCCAATTTCTGTTTCCTAAACTTTGTGCCATATTTTATAACTTTATTGAAACTACTAATCTCTGCTTCATAAACAAATAGAACTCGTTTATTGGTGCAGTTAATGTATTTCTGATCCTTTTTTTTTCTTGTTGCATTAATTACAATCATTTACCATGTCCGCTTCATTTCTACATCCTTGGTTTGTCTGTCATTTCTAGTCGCATTGTATGTTCACCAAAGATTGATTGAAATCATGGTAGAAAAGAAACTGGTTAAAACGAAATACTACGAAAAAAAAAACTTTAAAATGAAGATATATTATAATTACTAAATAACATAGATCATTTGTACTTAGTTTGGTTTTTAATGTATTCAATTTTTATAGAACATCCAAACAGGGTTTGAGAGTCAGGATAGATGTGTATCATTTTGTTTAATCTAATAATAGTTTATTTTAATTTTATTGATTATTTAACTAGATGACAGAAAAAAATATAATAAGTCACGTTAAAAGAACTTTCGGATAATATTATGAAAGGTTTAAGGAATGATAAAATATTTTAATTGATCGTAAACATTCAATGACTTATGTACTTATATTTATATGCAAGAGTGATATTAACTATTGTTTTTAATAATTTAAATAAAATTAAACTTTTCTGATTTTTTTATAATTAAAATATTTCTAAAATTATTAGACAATAAAACTTTCTTTTCTTTAAGAATATTAAAAAAATATATAGGTTACAAAATTGTACCAAAAATATAGGTTGAAAGCCATTGAAGTACTTTTCAAAGTAGAAATTAAATTAGGTTATTTTTTTTTAATTTTAAATCAATTAGTTTTGTAATACTAAAGTAATCATGCATATTTTTAATTTATTGTTTTGACTTTAAGCACACAATAATTTTAATAGCACATACACACCGACTTAATTTTTTTCCCTCCATAAAATTTTACAAAAGAATTTCTAAATTTAGTTATAATCAAAACATTTTAAAACATTTTATCCTAAACATATTGTAATATGCATCCATTCATACCCGTTGAAGAATCCTAAAACTACATATTCATTACTTTTGTTATAGTATGAGAAGTAATGAATTACATTACTGACAGTGATCTGTGTAAGAAGTTATGAATGATATGGAAAATAAACTTGTATATAACTTTTATAATTATGAGTCTCTTTTATTGTCTTCAACTTTTTTTTATGTTCGTCAAAAAACGAGTGATACTAACCATCCGAATTTCTTTAGAAACTATTACTTACGGCATATTAATTTTCTCAACGAAATCTACTTTTAGCACTTTAAAGAACTTCTTTTAGGCTAAATTAACGTGAAACTGACTTCTTTTAATATAAACTGAGACTTTTCGAAAGAGAGATGTGAAATAAATTTTATCGATTGAAAATAAAATAATTTTTTAGCTGTTAAACCGTGCTAATACCAGATAACTTGTGTCACAAATCAATAGTTTCAACTAGTTGATTTAACTAGTTCGTAAGATAACTTTTTATCTTTTATTGATCTCAGGAAGCACAAACGTGAAAATGCATGATCGCACTGGGATTTTTTTCTCTTTTTTTTTTTGCATTGCATGAGATTTTTTAACGGATCTCGGAAATTTTCAGGTTACTGAATTTCAATCCGCAATTGATTTCTCTATCTAGGCAACAGAATTTTTCAAATGACATTTTTAGACTACTTTTTTTTTGGAATGTACAAATTTAAAAACGTTATACATAACAAACATTATGTTGCTTAAATGTCACGGAAAGCTTCTACCGGAGTTAGAATACACCACACTGCAATAAATGGATACTCAAAAATCGTGAAATTTTCTCTGTTTTTGACGAAACTGTTTCCTGGTATATGCTCCGAACCAACATTTCGTCGCTTCTTCGAGGAAAGGAGTTTCGTCAAAACTAAAGAAATGATTCGTCCTTTATTTTTTCTCAAAAAAACGAAAACAAAACTTGCAGTTCCTAATAATAATTATTTTATCGTGGACACAATGTAGTTGGATCAATGACCCTAACAGCACGAAAAGGGCAGATAGAACAGAGAGATAAATTGAACCCATGCTCTAAGTGGGATTCAAACCCAGGATCTTCCTGGTATGAGACTAACACTTTGACCAACATATCATCCAGTCGGCTTAGTTCTTCAGTTTATTTTCGTTTGTCTAAAATTCATTTTAATTTCGTCATTCTAGGTAACAACCTCCCTCAATGCAATATGACAAGGTTTCGAGTTGAGAAGATTTTTTCGTCATATATTTGAGAGATCACGTTTTGTCACAAATAAAGAGTTTTCGTGACGACATGATTCTCAAAATTAACGAAATACATCTTAAGGTTTGCTGAATCGTCAAAAGTGAGAGTTTTATTTTTAAAAGTGCATCAGGATTAAGATTGCATAAGAACCCATACCCGGAAATCCTAATTATGATCTGCTTCCTCGTGTGCGTCTGATCAGGAAATAGTTGGGAAGCACTTCTGACCGCGTATGATGACATTTCCGGGGATGAGTTCCTATGCAATTTTAATCCTAATGACGTACCCTAACTCTTCTATATGTATGTCGGAACACTTACGCTACACCTAGTTAAAATTAACTCCTTTAAACTAGTACATTTCGACAAAAAACGTCATTAATAAATATAAAAAATTCTAATCTTTGGAGCAAAACTAATTTCAAATTTGAAATCCCCATTCTCAAATTAGGCATGATCAAGTATTTGTATAAATGCAACAAACGAAAGGTTTATTACCCAATGTTATTCATTATTCTCATATAGAGATTCAGAAAACTATAGTAGGAAAAAATAGGATGCAGCAGAAATAATTCAAGTCATACAGTTGCTCTATATAATTAATCTATTAATTAATAAAAATTTCATTTAGTATATCAGAAACTTTGAAGCTTTAAAAATATAATTTAATCTTCATAATTTAATTACATAAAGCAAAGAGATTATATTAATATATATTCCTACTGTTGAAATAAAATAAAAATACAAATAGAAAGTTTATCCTGTTTGCTAATATAAAAAGAACCCTTACGAAAAATAAGATACCTTTGAGGTAAATTTAAGTGTGATAGGTGTAAAAAATATATCTATTGTAGAAAAGGAGGTCATGGCTTTGCACCAAAAATAGCCTCATTTACTACTCATAAAATCAATCTCGTATGCAGTGCAGGAATACTTTCAGTTGAAATTTCAAACCAATTTCATACACCTTTATTATAATCCTTGGAAGATTGGCTTTTGAGGGTGGTTTTTGCAGTCAACTTCAAATGAACCTCAAATCAACCTTAACACCTCAAAAAAAGTTCAAACAGACCTCAAAAACACTTTTATTTTTGTAAAGGGAATGACGACTTAAGTTTAGTTGATTAATATTTCATTATATTATTTTTTATAGTCACCTGATTATTTGTCTCAATCTCTGAATCCCAGCTTATAATACTGGCATATCCCTTGTTTTGTCGATGGTAGCCGTTGATGACTTTCAATAAGCTCATTGCAATATCGGTTGTCCTGCTGTTCCAATAAAAAAACCATCACTAAAGGCTTTTACCAATGAAAATGTTTGTATGATGAACTTGGCGAGTTTCACACAAAATTTAGCTTAATTAATCATTTCTGCCCGCATGGAATATTTGAAAAATATCAATGAATCGATTACGAAACACGTACTTTTCCTATCGTTGCAACTCATTAGAAATGCTTCTACTTACGTTCATTAATAATTTTCAACGAGATTTGTAGACACACAAATCCTCATTTTTTTTTAAAAATTTTTTAGGACCTTGGTGTAACCCTTAATACTGTGCCATTTTTCTAAAAATGAGTTCCTTTCATGAAAGTTTTCATTCCCTGTAACAAAAAGACTTCTTTTCTGGGGAAACCAACTTGCAACTTCAGTGCTGCTGGTGAACCATTCGCATTTTCGTATCGGTCAAGATGCAAGTCACGTAAAAGGCGGGATGGCAAAGCCCTTAAATATGCTGAAGATTTCAATCATACGCGATTCCAAGACGTGAATATTTGGAATGTTTACGATCTGTGCCATTAGAAGAACACTCAAATAGCGGTTTGAGTTAAGGAATTCAGTCACATTTTCGTTGATGGTAGCCGCTGATGACCTTCCAAAGTGGTCTTCAACATGATCTCTTCTCGACCGTCAAACTTCGGTTTACTTGATTTTCCAATAAAAACCATCATTCTCTACCTAAAGGTTCTCTTTACCATAAAAAAAAATTCGATTATGAACTTGCTGAGTTTCACACAAAACTTGAGAGAAATGAATGACGCTCAGCGTGATATCTTGCACAAAAATTTAAAAAAAACGAATTTCAAGAGAATGCTTATTTTTCCCCCGATTGAAAAGCAATACAAATATAAAAGAACCACTTCTTTTAGCAATTACATTTAGTCTTGTTTTGGAGGATGTTTTGAGGCTGACAGATGTAAGAAATACAGCTGAGGTCAAAAATGAGGTTATGTTTTGGACCAAAAATAACGTCAATTATAAACCTCGATTTCAACCTCATTTACACCTCACGAAATCAACATAATATAAACTCAGACATAACTTCAGTTTAGATCGGGTGAAATTATTCACACTTCAAATATACATATTTGAATGAAGTGTAGAAAAAATAATCCGTACATTTCCAAAACAACTTCCCTTAGCTTCCCTTGCTCTAATGTAGATTTCCATCAACCTCAAGTGTTAATAAACACAACTTCATTCACCTTGATTATACACCTTGGGAGGTTTATGCTTTATGGTTGTGTTTAAAAGCAACTTTGAATAAACCTCAATCTTAACACCTCAAAACAACCTTAAATAAACCTCAGAAATACCTAACTTTTAAGTGAGGGATTATATACTTTCCGGACATACCGTGCAGTTTTCATTCTATTTTTTTATTTTTCTAATCTCACAGTTGCTCCAATCTTTAACTTTCTATCAGTAAAAATTTCATAGTTATATAATTGGTTATGAGGTGCTCTTTAAAACTGCGTCATCTATCTGAATTACCAGAAGAAAACACTTGGACTAACTTGCCTTCATTGAGCACTTTTTTAGCAAAACATGGCGTTGAAATGAAAAGGCATTAGCGTAACATAAAGAGCAAAATCCTTGCAAATTCCCCACTGCTAACTCTACAGAAAGTAAATTAATCCTTATTTTGTGAACCATAGAGGTTATATTGTATAAGTTAATGCATAATATTCAGAATATAGAGCTTAAACTCCACCAATGAAAGTTAAAAAAAATAATTTTAAAAAATGCTAATTTAGCTTTTAAGTGAAACAGTAATCTGCTTCTCTGTTTAATTTGAAGCTATTTTTCAATCCCTTTACATCACTTTTCTCCTGGAGAAATCAGGGAACTTAAATGGGCCTATGCAGAAATAAACGTTACATTTACATACTCTTATTTAAATTTTGTAAATTTATATAATGCAAGGTTTACTTCCGTCACACAAAATTTGTTTGTGAAAAGTGCATTTTTGTGCGTTACATTGAGTAGCAGTAGAGATGCTCATGCCCATTAGTCCATTGGAGAAGCTTGAGGGACAAGTTTGGTCAAGTACCTGTTTGATATCTAGAAATTATTTTCCCTGCAGTTGTTGCATTAACTTTTTTTTAAAAAAAAGCAGAGTAAGTTTAAATTATTTTGATTTTTATCTTCGTGAAAAATCTCAAAGCAAAAATCTTTTAGTTATACTTCCAGGAGTGTCCGAGCACTATTTTCATATATAGCAAATGTTTTATTTAATGGCAAATGTTAACTTTATTTTTTAATATTTTCTTAAAAATTAGCTGTTATTCCGCGCAGTTTTCAGAATTAGGACAATTCGAACAAACACTTTAAGAAAATGACAAATTAAGTAACTTCATATATTTATCATTTCTTTTAATTTTAAATTTCGTTTTATTGATTTAATTGCTAGATAGTATAATAAACAAATTAGCAACCAATTTTAACAGCATATAATTTAAATTCAATTTTTATTGAAATAGTTCATTGCAAGTAAAATTAACGCTATTATTTTTCGATCATTAAAAAAAGGAATTGAAGTGTATTTTCTCGTTTCTAATTGCTTTTTTCATATTCTCATATTGAGGAAGTGCCAATTATTGTTAAATATAT